ATGATATGGAGAGAAGCATGCGAAAAATCTTTATTCTAATTAAAATCTACCACACAATTCGCATGCGTACATTTAAGGGGGCGGTCATAAAGTAAGTGCTACCCCGGGGCGGAGGATATTGGGATGGGTATGAAATTTTTTTCAGGGATCTGGATGGGGTATGAAATAAATTTATCACTTTAAAGAGGAGGTATGAAACAAAATTTGTTTGTTTCAATACAAAATTTGTGCTAATACAGTTTAATATTACGGCTCCGTTCATGGTCCAAATAATTTTTCATACATCACTGCCACATCATTGTCACATAAAAGATTTGACCGATTTGATTTCCCTTGCAGTTGCTCTTTGTGTTGTGATTTTATTCCTCTTCATGAGCTCGTGTGGATGAGTACATGATGACACAAATATTATTCAAAAAATGGTTGCAATAGAGACTATTGTACCGTATATTTAATACACAGTGTAATCATTTTTAACCGTATTTGTACCGGGGGTGCGCACAATGAGCGCACCCAAATAAATATTTGTCCGTCATTCCTCAACAAATTAATCCATTTGATTTTCTTAAAATTCAAATTTATCCGGATGTTTGACGACATTTGTCATAATATCCATATTTATTTTTTTTCTTGCGGTCCGAAGTCATATTTTACGCTTTTCTGCAATCTGATTGGCTACGTGAGCGGTCCGTATGAGCCCGTACGGACCGCGCGAGATTTAAAGCCGTAGAGCCAATGTTTTTATTTTTCAAAATTTAAAGACGAGTTTAAAGGCTACTTTTTAAAACATTAAAATGTCTGCAGACGATGAAAAACACAGTGAAAACGAATTTTACTATCTCACAAAAGATATTTCTCTCCCCGATAGCATTGATAGAAACGACGTTTTATTTGGCAGCTTCATTCGCGTGCGGGAGGAGTGATTGGGGAAATCCAGAGGAATTAAAAAAAATAAAAATATTATTTACCGGTATGGTCGGTCCGTATAGAGAAATATTTCTCTCGGTCTTAAAAACGTCCCTCGGCCTTCGGCCTCGGGCCGTTTTTAAGACCTCGAGAAATATTTCTCTATACGGACCTCCAATCCGGTAAATAACATATATATATTACATAAAATAGTAAAATATAGTATATTAAATATCAGAGATTTATATAATATGGTATATTATAAAATACTTATATAATATAAAATACTTATTTATAATATTTTTATACATACAAATACACATATTTCTTTGTACCTTCAAGGTTGAGCAATCACCAAAGATTTAGGAACCATAATATATTGCAGAATATGAAACCAATTTAGTATAAATATTGTGTTTTCAAAATCAAAACTATACTGCAGGTTCGTAGCCCACCTGTTTTCCGCTTCATGTAACACATAGTATATTGCCAATATTGGCCTGGTTATAAACATGGTCGCCATTTCATATTTTTCTACAAACTTTTCTTGATCGACTTCATTCAGTTCATTGTTTCTTCGGTTTATACTGAAGAAGTTATGCCACCAAAAAGAGCTAGAGTTTCAGCAGAATGCGCAATTGCAAATATTATGCGATTTATGGAATATAAATATGACAACAATGACAGTGGTCACAGTGATGATGGTGAAATCACTCAATCAGTGATGTTGAAAATTATTTGGATTGCTTATATGGGGAGACAGGTCAGTTTCAGTTGTATGTCTTTTCATATGGTACAGAAATGCCAGCTTGTAAAGAAAAATGGTGGTGTTTATGGACATCTGAGGTATGCCATAACATAAAAGTATGTCTTTTGAATGTAAAAGAACTAAAAATATCACGATCCAAAATGGTTTTTTTTAATCTCTTTACATAAAATAACCAAAATTGGTAAAATATTGGCAATATTTGCCATTTTTTGACAGGCGGCCGTATTCAATGGGTCCAAAAACAGCATTTTGGATTTGAATTTTACTTTTTTGTTATTTTTAAGTTAAAGAAAGATAAAACTTACTAAAAATAAAACTTATAGGATATGGCAATTACTCAACAGAATTTTTTAGCCCAATCAGCACACCCCAGGTTATATCAACATGAATAAACCCTGGTAAGCTTATCGTTTTATGATGGGGTATGAAATATTGAGACCGTTATCTTGATGGGGTACCAAATATTATCCGACAAGTTTATGGGGGTATGATATGTTTTTCATAAAATGAAAAATATCCTCCGCCCCGGGGTAGCACTTATTTTATGACTGCTCCCTAATTGCATTTGAGCTTTGGTTCACTATACACATGCTTGCATATACGCATCAAACATACGGCGACGGCCAAGTTTTATACCGATCGTAAACAAAACAATTAAACTACAAGAACTCTTCCCTGTTTAATACCGCAAAATGCATATACCGAACTACAATATAATTGACAGAAAGGTGTTAATTAAAAGCATTTATGGCTCGAATTAAAGAATCTGCTTAGCTATATTTCGGTCTAGCACCGTGTCCTACACATTTCGTCTTTGTATACTGCAGGTTCAAGACTGCCGTAAAGTAATAAAGCTGGGTAAAGTATTAGCTTAGTATTATTTACCATCCACGAGCGATTATATCCCGAAGCCAATAATCCTATCCAATCCCATGCAATCCCGCGCACGCCCATGACACACTTGGGTCACATATTTTAGATTTTATAATTTTGCGAAGACAACCTTAATTGATTTAGCTGTATATATATATATATATATATATATATATATATATATATATATATATATATATATATATATATATATATATATCTATATATATATATATATATATATATATATATATATATATATATAACTATATATATATATATATATCTATATCTATATCTATATCTATATATATATATCTATATATATATATCTATATATATATATATATCTATATCTATATCTATATATCTATATCTATATATCTATATCTATATATCTATATCTATATATATATATATATCTATATCTATATCTATATATATATTTCTCAAATTCATTAATAATTCATGAGTAATTCAGCGAATGATAATCACCTATTTGATCACAAGATGCCATTTGGATAACCCGGTGAAACTTGATGAAAGTCACTAGTGTTTTCATCAAATATCTTAATTACGCATGCAAAATTACTTGAATAGAATTCCTAATTACGTTATGCTTGGTTAAGAATTCTATTCAAATCAGCAAACGAAAACATTCTGTTACGTCTCGATCATTTGAGAAGCCATATAAACAACTCGAGCTCGTGTCTCACCGGGATATCCAAACACTCGAAAACAATGTATGAAAACACTCGCGCTTCGCGCTCGTGTTCTCATACATTGTTTTCTCGTGTTTGGATATCCCGGTGAAACACTCGCTCTCGTTGTTCATATATTACATCAAGTCGTTAGTGTTACATATCAAGTCATTCGTGTTATATATCAAGTCATTAGTGTTATATATCAAGTCGTTCATGTTTTATATCAAGTCTTCGTGTTTTATATCAAGCCTTCGTGTTTTATATCAAGTCGTTCATGTTATATATCAAGTCGTTCATGTTTTATATCAAGTCTTCGTGTTCTATATCAAGTTCTTCGTGTTATATGTCAAGTCGTTTGTGTTTGTATCAAGTCGTTCGTGTTTTATATCAAGTCGTTTCGTGCGTGCATGTCAAGATGTCAGCTTGTTTACATCAAGTTTTACGTTCGTGTTATACATCAAGAAAGGAGAAGATAGTTTTTGATCGGCACTATTTTCACTCGAGGTCAGCGCTATTTCGGATCTGTCAGAGTAGAAAACATATTCAAAATGGCTGCGCGAAATCGGTTATATATTCCCAACCTTGAAGAATTCTTTAATGATTTTTTTCAGCTAATCCAGCAATGTAGTAACTGTATACAGGAAAATAGTAACGGTAGATTGGCAGAATTTCTTGGTATAGGCGCCTAGAGGAATATCAACGTTCGCTGCGCGTGATGTACTTCAGACTCCGGGATTTTCGCAACAACACACCTGATCTTCTGAATGACTTCGAACAAATACTGGACGTTGTTAGTCGTATATTAAAGGGAACTTGGAATTACTTTATAGCGATGATTTTGGCGACGAGTTCCCAGAGAATAATGCACTTTGTACGACGATAAATCATGGCCTTGTTGGATGACCTCGCTATGAACTCACTCAAGACCAGATACAAATTTTAAGAGGCGAGTTGGGATTTAGATGGGTAGACATTGCTGCAATATTGGGAATATCATCCTGAATCCTGAACCGTCGTCGTCACGAGTTTGGTATGTCAGTCGGACAAGTCTGTGTAGAATTTTTATAACACGCCGTCTTTGCTGACAAGGCTAAGGCCTAACTGTGGTGTCAATAGAGAGGTTAAGATACCCCGGTTCCGTTTTACGGGTATCGCCATTTTGTTCAGCAATTTTTGCTGATGTCAGCATTTTTACCCGTAATTTCTACCCGTTTCCCCGCGGTAAACCAAAGTCTACACGTAAAAGACAAACAGGTACGGGTGTTGTCTGTTTACTATATGTGGGCCGTTTAAATAGTAAAAATTTTCAACATCTTACCTAAATAAATAATGCACATATGCTCGTCAAAGTTTTCAACAATTTATGGCGAACCTCAATAGCGAAAGTTACCATTCTCTGATCGGTTTTCACACGCCGGAATATCTTGGATTTCTTAAGTTACAAGTCGTTCCCCGATTTACGGGTACGTGCATGTATATCACCCGTACCCGTAAACCAGAACCGGGGTATTTTCAACCTCTCTATTATTAATATTTCACTAACAACCCTGTCGAGTTCTTCAGTACTTATATTTGAGAAGTTGTAATCTTGTCCGACTTACATATCAAATGCGTGACGACGACGGTTCAAGATTCTGGACGATATTCCCAATATTGTAGCAATGTCTACCCATCTAAATCCCAACTCGACTCTTAAAATTTGTCTCTGATCTTCAGGTGAGTACATCAGTAGCGACTTTTTAGCGAGGTCATCCAACAAGGCCATGATTTACCGTCGTACAAAGTGCATTATTCTCTGGACTCGTCGCCAAAATCATCGCTATAAAGTAATTCCAAGTTCCCTTTAATATACGACTAACAACGTCCAGTATTTGTTCGAAGTCATTCAGAAGATCAGGTGTGTTGTTGCGAAAATCCCGGAGTCTGCCGTACATCACGCGCAGCGAACGTTGATATTCCTCTAGGCGCCTACCAAGAAATTCTGCCAATCTACCGTTACTATTTTCCTGTATACAGTTACTACATTGCTGGATTAGCTGAAAAAAATCGTTAAAGAATTCTTCAAGGTTAGGAATATATAACCGATTTCGCGCAGCCATTTTGAATATGTTTTCATGCTGATCAAAAAACTAGGTACTCTGACAGATCCGAAATAGCGCTGATCTCGAGTGAAAATAGTGCCGATCAAAAACTATCTTCTCCTTTCTTGATGCATAACACGAACGTAAAACTTGATGTAAACAAGCTGACATCTTGACATGCACGCACGAAACGACTTGATATAAAACACGAACGACTTCATACAAACACAAACGACTTGACATATAACACGAAGAACTTGATATAGAACACGAAGACTTGATATAAAACATGAACGACTTGATATATAACACGAACAACTTGATATAAAACACGAAGACTTGATATAAAACATGAACGACTTGATATATAACACTAACGACTTGATATATAACACTAATGACTTGATATATAACACGAATGACTTGATATATAACACTAACGACTTGATATTTTTGTCACGTTTGGAAAAGCATACACGACGTTAAATAAGTCATCACATTAAATTCCATTACATGAAACATAGCTTTCGATTTCTTTAATTGTATAATGAATTTTTATTATTAAACACAAAATTACTTCACATCGTATAACGTGTTGCTCAATTGCATTATCATTTGTAATTTTTTTTTCTCGTCCGGTTGCAGTCATCGTAGCACGGAGGGAACTGATGACTTTGCAGGTCATATCTTAGGTTCAATGCATGCTGTGAAGATAAAAATATCACCATTCGAATCAGTGGAACAATATCTCAACATTACATCAATTCATAGCCTTTGAAAGTCAAGCGAGATCGTACAATTATTATCAAATCACTCAATTTTATGAATAAAATATAAACTAGCCATAGCTTTAGCTCACCTTTTTTCTGTTCTGAATGAAAGGCTTTGATTCGCAGAAAAGCCAAGTAACATGACCACTTTGAAAAATAACTATCTATCTATATCTATCTTCCAGTACAGCAAACCCCTCAGTATGAGGATTTTTAGCTGGGGTCAGCAGAATATATGTTGCTAACCCGATAACTGCATGTGAGAAAATTACTGTGAATGAGGTGAAGAAAAATGCCGATCGCAAATAATTTGTGCGCGAATTTTTTCCCACTGGAATTCCATTTGAGCAATTCCCACCCAGCTAGCGCTGTGCAAATCACGTTCTTGTCAGATTCTCAGTATACCAAACGGAGATTTTTTACGTCAGTTAGACGCTTTATTATTCCTGGTGCAGAATTGTGAACGCTCATACTAAAAACTACAATACAACAGAATCTATCTGTAATATAGTACAAAACAGCGTGTGAGATAGGCAGTGGCGTAGCCAGACCTTCATTTTTTTTGGGGGGGGGGAGGGGCGAAGCGAACGCCGAAGGCGCGAGACCATCTATGGAGGTCCGGGGGCATGCCCCCGGGGAAATTTTGAAATTTAGAATCCCTGAAATGTGATTTCAAGCATTTTGGGGGTGAAATCGTGCAGAATTCCGAAGATTATAAAGTACGCTCTAGGGGGGTTCGGGGGCATGCACCCCAGGGAAAATTTTAAAATTTAGAGTCCCTGCAATGTGATTTCAAGCATTTTGGGGGTGAAATCTTGCAGAATCCCGAAGATTATAAAATACGTCGAAGACATAAATTTTCCCAGACATTTCTAAGTTTCTACTCGCTTTTACATGATACAGAATAAGTCTGAGAAGAATATTCATGTTATTATAATGCATATACATGTAAATCTAAACTAAATCTATTCCTCTTGGAACCATATCTACAACTGTTTTAACGAGATTTTAGAAATCAAGTTCTTCCAGTATTTCGTCGTTTTCCTCAGTCGAGACGTACTTAATCCGTTTCAGCTTCGAGGATGTAACGTGTACCCCCCCCCCCATTTCTCTACGGATTTAGCCTTTTTCAGAGAATGTTTTTTTTTGCGATTGGGGGGCGACCGCCCCTTGCTACGCCCCTGGAGATAGGCATCAGATATAGATACGTGCCCTACGCATGTCGACATTCCTGAGTTGTGGTCGTATGTAATAGACGGCTGGCCAAGTCATCATTTTGTACAACTGAATGGCAGCTTTATGTTAGAAACTGGTGACAGGCATTTTCTTATAGTCCAAGCCTTGGTGAACAAGACTATATGTGTTACCACTTCTGATTTTTGCTTTATAGCCAAGAATTTGAGAATTTTTAAATTTTGCCTATTAAATTACTATGATCGAAAAAATGTAAAATCTCATGTTTTCTTATACGAAAAATAAACTATACCACTAGAAAGAGCGTAAAACATTATATATAAGACAATTCAGTGAGTTCTACGTTTTTCCAATCCTATTTTGAGTCTTTAATGCTAAAAATGCAGAAATGACCAAATTAATGCTAATTAGTACCCATTTTGCCAACTTTAACCCATCTTTAATTCAAAAATCGGCTTGAAAATCGCACTAGTCGCTTAATTGTCTAATATATAGTTTTTTGCGATCTTTCTAGTGGTATAGTTTATTTTTTGTATAAGAGAACATGAAATTTTACATTTTTAGCCATCATAGTAATTTAATAGGCAAAATTTGAAAATTCTCAATTTTTTCGCTATAAGGCAAAAATCAGAAGTGGTAACACACACAGTCTTATTCACCAAGGTTTGAACTATAAGAAAATGCCTGAAGAGGGTTGACAGTACCCTTCCCTGAAGAGGGTTGACAGTACATGTTCCGCGAATATACTTCATACTATGCAATCGCTTTGCGGTCCCTTTTATATTAGGGATGGGTAAAATGCCAATAATAAATATTGATACTATCAATACTAGAAGAAGTATCGATACTTACGAATAAGGCGTTGATAATTTCGGAACCACTTGAATCTGAAAGTGCTTGGTAAAAATAAGGGAGGACGACTCAAAATTTCGAAAATTGGGAGTCTTCAGATCGTAGGAAATGGCATTTTCAGGGTCTTCTTTAGCACTTTCGTTAGGCTGTTTCAAATGCTGTTATTATGATTTGTAAGCTATAAATATATCTATTTTATAGTTTGCGACTGCTTTAGATGATAACTATTTCAGCAAGTAAATATCGCTGCCTAACAAGCAGCACACTACCACAGACCAAAAACATCCAATAACAAAAGACAAACAAAAATGCTTGTGATGTCACTATGAGTGTATATTCGCAGCAGACAGGCTTGAAAAATATGCTTGGCCACGGTGGAAAACGAACTTACGACCTTTGGAATACTAGCCTAGTGCTCTGCCAGCTGAGCTACGCGGTCAGGTCGGTTCGAGTATGTGATATTTCGGAACTGAGTCTAGTTCCTTCAATATCAATGTAATCAAGTAATCATGATATTTTCTGTGTTGGTGTAATGTACTCAGGTGAATAAGATGCTTGTGATGTTACTCTGAGTGTATATCCACATTGGGCAGGCTTGAAACATATTTCATATTTTTCAAGCCTGCCTGGTGTATATTTACATTCAGAGTAACATCACAAGCATCTTATTCACCTTAGTTATTTTAAAAATTAATAACAAACAAAAATGTTGTTATTAAAATAACAAAATAAACAATTGCAGATACATTATAAATGGATATATACGGTTTCAAATACTTCCAGTTCCGATAATTTCGCAGTATTTTTTTATTATTTTTTTAAATCTAATATTTTTTTTTGGGGGGGGGGCGAAAGCTATCCCCCCTCCCCCGCATGACATCACTTTTATTACAGGTAAATTACGTGAAGCGCAGCGTTCCTCTTTTGACTTCCTAACTCATTTGGAATTTTCCTCAATAGCTTTGCAAAGTTGAAAAACTCTTTGCAAATCCCTTGAGGGAATTTGCAATGTTTCTTTCGGCCGGTTCAATATTTCAATGCATTTCTTAACTTCCTCTTTTAATTTCCTGAGTTCCTGTTCTGTTCTGAGCGTTTTCATTAGTGCATTATTTTTGTTAGCCAATTGCAACGCACAGAACAGAACAGGAAGTTAGGAACTGGTAACAGGGATTAGTTAAGAAATGTAATTTCACCGGATCGAGGTTTAAGTACTTACCTGAAGGGGAGATGTAGTTCTCCGAACTCCTTCGAAGACTGATACGAACAATACTTGTGCAGATGCAGAAACGAGAAATAGGCGTACTAAGAGGCCTGGGGACTAGGCTGAGTGCAGATCGCGACGCGAGCGATCTAGTTACCACGAATATAAATCAAGCCAACTCATGCGGATTTATCCTCTGAATGAGTGTCGCTGCTGAGGTCCATTCCACATGTCAGTAGCTGGGTGGGGAACAACCTCGTACCCAGAGCAATGCCTGTGCGCGGGCTAGGAAGGCATTGACTCTGGAGAAATTGACAACGGAACCCCTAAATTTAGGGATTCCGGTTCTTTGTCGGCATGCACTATTGATAAACGTTAAACCAATCACAGAACAAGAAAAATTCAATTTCCCCAGAGCCAATGCCTTCCTTGCCTGCGCTCAGGCATTGGTTTGGGAACGAGATTGGGTGGGGAAGGACTTTTAAATCAAGAAGATTTCACTGGTGAATAAGTCTTCCACATACCGTGGGGATCGTATTGTTCGTATCAGTCTTCGAAAGAGTTTGGAGAACTGCATCTCCCCTTCAGGTAAGTACCTAACTGTCCGGGGAAATTGCATTTCTCCTTCACTTCTTCTCGAGCTGATACTCACAATACTAGTGCAGACTTTTGGTAGCTACTGGCATGCTGAAATACTATACAGTAACAGAAATACACCAAACAACTCTACAAAAAAGAAGTAATATATCCCCCAACAAAACAGTCATAATACCATTAACTGCACATATAAAGTCTAACTGTTAAGAACAGCATGCACAAAGCAGTCCGATCTGGACGTTTGTGGTAGTGTTTTTTGAACATTTTGGCAAAACTCCAATCTCTTTCTTCCACTATTAGGTCCAATAAGAGCATTGCGCCTGCAGCAGCTGAAATAGAAGCGGGAGACCAGGCCTAGAGTTTTTCACATGCTTTGGAATCGTAAATTCCTAGGCCTTCTCCCTCACCAGCGAAAAATCAAGATCCAATGCTGGCAGTTCGTGAGCTCTTGCAGTTGTTGTGAGAGCCAATATGACAGTAATTAAGCTTAAAGATAAGCATCTTTAAGGGAATCTTGTCAACGGGTTCTTGATTTCTTTGAAAATCCAACGCCTTCACCACATTCCAGGAAGAACAATACTTTGGTTTGGGCGGTTTTGTTCTAAATATTCCTTTCATGAATTTGGAAACAATAGGCAGTTCACCGAGTGGCACAGAATCCATAGGATTATGTGTTTGTGAAATGGCAGATCTGTAAACTGCAATTGTGCGCGATACTCCAGGTCTTTCTCTTTCAACAAATTAGCTAGGAATGAAAGAACTGCAGTCACAGGTGCTGAAAAGGGACAGCACCCACGCATGGTACACCATTCAGCCCAATCTCGCAACGGGTCGGCATATCTCTGCTTAGTGGACTCACTCCATGACAATAGGAAGATCTCGATAACGTCTGGCGAAAATCCTGCTGTTTCAAAACGTCTCCGAATACTGGCCATTCCGCCGGGTTGAGGGTTATTCGCCCACAGAGGATGGTGGGCCTGGAGGTCAACTGGTAGGTATAGTAGAGACACTAAGCTGCAGGGGGCAATCCACCAACATCTGTGCTAACTGTGGGTATCAGAGCACGTTCGGCCAGTTCGGTGCTATTACCAGGGCTGATGCTCCCTCGTCCCGGACATTCTTCACTACCCCAAGAAGAAGGTACACAGGAGGGTGTATGAAACTCTTGCACCTGCTACAATCTTGGAGAAACGCGTCGAATGCTATTGCCCCGGGCTATGGAAATCTGGAGACATAACTCTCGACTTGGTGGGTTAGCCTTGATACAAACAGATCCTCCTTGGGAAATAAAACCGGTCCACTATCTTCTGAAATATCTGGGAGTCCAATGTCCATTCCACACTGGGGTTGAATTGATGAGATGGTGTGTCGGCATCGACATTGAGAATTCCTGGAATATGTGTTGCTGTCACCCAAGATCTGATCTTGAGGACATGAGACCAGAGTTACGGTGCCATTGCTTGTAGAGACGGTGAGTGTGTGCCTTTCTCTTGTTGATATATGCCACAGCGGTGGTGTTGTCGATGCGTAGGTGGATATCAGCCAGTGCTGACACGCTGGTCATATTCAGCAAATTTTCTCCCAGTACCGCAGCCTCGCATTTTCAGCGGACTTGCGCTGAAAAATGGAAACTTTTGCATTTTGCACAGAACTGCCCACTTTCTGTAAGATGTCCGCTGGCAATACGAGCTTGCACGAGTGGGAGAAATTTTGCTAAATTTGACCAACGAGTGATCTCCAATTCCTCGTGAAAGCCTGGATTGCAAGATATGCTGCATTGAGCTCCAGTACATCATGGATAATAAAATAAATGGATAGGAAACTAGCTGACGTGACCTAATGTTTTCAATGGGCTGATGGCGTGATTGGATGTTGAAACCTAGTTGCAAACCAAATTCTCAAAAACAGCATGTTTAGCAATAATACAGCTAAACATTTTAGTCAAAGAACAAATTAATATAACTACGCCATTCTACGATGAAATCTCTAAGTATTCCCAGTCAATTTTAGCAAATATTTCAAGCAATAAACAGTGAAAAAGGCATCCCAAATTTCGTTAAAATCGGGGACGCCAATTTCGTAGCTATAAATGTAAAAAAAATACAAAACAAAGACGAAAAACATTTACCTTGAATACTTTGTCGTGGCTTAGGCATGTTTTTAAAACAATTAGACCGGTTTATGCTTCAATATTGCTCTTTTAAGGCGGAAAATATAGCGAAACAACAAAAATGCAGAGAACTTTGCAATACGCGTGACGTCACAGATTGCAACTAGGTTGTTTTGCTTACGTCAGCGAGATTCCTATCCATTTATTTTATTATCCATGAGTACATATATTGATGTGTTGCTGTGACTCCTCTGGGCTCCAGTGTCCCCCGATGGAGGTTTCGTCTGCTGCCGCCCTCCAGCCCAAAAGGGATGCATCAGTGTGGATGACTAAATCGAATAATGGTGCGCACTGGAGGTGATGATTATTGGTGTTCCAGAATTCCTGGTACAGCCACCACTCCACATCCTTCATAGTCTCTCGTGACAGCTCTAGGGACTGTTTCGATCCCTTACAACCATATCTTAGGGTCCCAGCTGAGTGAACCCTCGGAAGAGCCAGCCAAATGCAATTCTGAGCTGCATGGCTCATGCGTCCCAGGAGTGCTGCTCCTAGTGCACTCTTGCCTTTATTTGGTGCGTAGCTGGAGTGCCCCCTGCTGGATGAGATCCAGCTTCGCCACACATGTCCAATACTGTCGACACATGGGGGGGGGTGAATAGGTTTTCGGATTGTCGGATTTCACGGAAAAAATTGTTCGGATTTCGGATCTAGCGAATATTTTACATGGATTTGAGGATCTTATTAATGAAGAGCCTGGGAACGAGGCTGTGCGGATTTATCTAATATTTTGGCTCGTATTGTCGATTTAGCTTGCAATTTATTTCCGATCCTGGTTGTGACTTCATAGTAGAGCTTTTAGCGGATTCAAATTTAGACAAGACCATTGTCGGATCACGGATTTTGCTTGAAATTTGGGCGGATCGGCGGATTTGTATACCCCTATTCACTCCGGCCCCCTCCCCTGATACGGATCGTGAAACAACTTCACGATCGGTGCCATATATACTAACAGTTCGACGGATCGTACCCATACTAAGATCGTACCGTTCGTACGGCTCGTAAAGTCTGTTTTCCACTTCAATTGTATCGTAACGTACCGTAGATTTTCTTTTGTGTTGAAGTCATTGGTTCCACACTACCGCTCAGGAAACAAAGAAATACGCTACGCTTCGGTAAGATACGATTGAAGTGGAAAACTGACTAAAGAGTAAAGACGATTCACGATCCGACAAATCCGTATACAGTTGAAACAGCAATAACTCGAAAACCGCTTGAAAATCCCAACTAAACATTTAAAGGCCTTATATGTAGTTTTTCGCCAGCTTTCAAATTATGTAAGTCATTTGTATTGGAAATGTATTTGAAATTTCACATTTTTTAACTGTAATAGTGTTTAATACAAAATTCGAAGAAAAACGTGTCGGCAGGAGCCCACAAGATTTTAACGCCGCCAACATACAGAAACGTACTTACTAGCCTTCAGGGCACAATATGAAGGCAAAATGGAATTGTCCCTCGATATATATGGTAAGCAATGGTATGCCCACCTGTTATGGTATATGGTAAGCATTTTCCTTGTATCTGCCCAACCTCGTACCCAGGATCTTTGTTGGTATCTGCCCCAATCTGCCCCCTAAAGCCCATTAAGAAGGTAACATGAAGTGTATCAATAATGTACCAGAAGGCGCGTGGGCTCAGTACATTGAAATTGGATATTTGTCATTTTGTTGAATAAATATGAAAATTTAATGATTTCTTGGAAGGTTTGCACGCGTGTTTGTTTTATCTTTAGCTGTTTACTTCTGCGATGGAGAATCTTTTAAAAGAATTGAAGTAACTCAGCAGGAATACGTCTACCAAATGCTATCTAATCCAGGCAGAAAATGCACGTCTCGAAGTGATTTTCGCAATCAACTGTAAGCCAACATTGCCGAACTGTTGACATGGCTGTCGTGTTAAAATGCCACATTTGTGATTGCTTTGAGCTTCCTGTCTGAGAGCTGTAGTCAATTACAACTCTTGGAGTGTTGGCATTATGAATGGGGATACAAATGCTCGTACACGTCCGTCGAGAAATCAAAGACGAAGGAAGAATAATCGGAATAATGCACAAAAAAACGAAGGACAGAATTCTGAAAAGACAAACGATGAGGGACAGAAGAAACAAACTGATAGTAAAAAGCAAGGCCAGCAGTTCAGTGGGAAAAAACAAGAGAAGGAAAAGCGTGTGAAATTGGTACAGGTAAGTACACTTTTGGGGAAGATATTTACGATATTGGAGATCTCACTCGATATATAGCTGATTGTAGTCTTTGTTGGAAGGATTTCTGGATGGAAATTTTGATTCTTGAGTGGAATTGTTATACATTTACTGGCCCTATAAACCAGGAGCAGTTGCAAAAAATGCAACTTTCAGTCTTCTGACAGGAATCGAACCTGCAGCTCTTTGATTCCGGTGCAGCGCTCTAACCAACTGAGCCACAGAGAGACAGTTGTCGAGCTCTAACCACCAGTTCATGAATAAATATTAATGTGATCATTGCTTTCCCCCTTAAAGGGGGGAGGGGGGTGCGGGCAACCCAGGGGACTTTGACCACACTATGAAGCACCAGTGAGGGGAATTTGACCTATGCATCAACTCCCAGAGTCGGGAAATTTTGACATCCGCCATCTTGAAAGTTTGCACGGTTTTGACATTAAAAGACCTGGTAACAAGTATGGCGGAGAAGCAAGATCAATCGAAAAAGGTATTTTATACACAGTGTCTCAATTTTTACCAAGTTTAAACCAGTATAGACTGTATGTTCGCATTGGAAAACATATGTGTGCCTTGTTATCTTAGGAATAGAGTGGTGAATTTTGACAGCCGTTCCTTGGCTAACATTGGGGTTTTGATGACAAAATTTTAAAAATGTCAAAATTCTCCTGGGTTGCCTGCAACCCCCCCCCCCCTGCCTCCTCAGGGGGAAAACATTGATAGGTGCATAATGCACCTATAGATCACTTGTTTCCACCACCCGCTTGAGGGTGAGCAACCCTGGCCCCTGGGGATTTGACAACAAATTCTCACCCCGGAGACAGCCATTTGACAACAAGTTGTGGCCTTAGAGACGGTCAATCGACAAACTCATGTGCTGGACATCTCGGTTTGCAGCGCAGTTTGTGTTGCGGGAGACTTGGGGAGAGCAACGTTATCTCGGCCGTAAATATCCTGAAATTGTTAACAACTCATACCCTTCCCATGGGTATTCTGACTCAGTAATTGTGCCCTTGGGTGGGGAATTTGACAACAAAATGTCAAATGCCCGTGGGTTTGCCTGCCCTCCGAGGGGTGGTGGAAACTAATGATAGGTGCATAAATATCAGGATTTTGAGCATACCATTCGATATAACTAATTGCCAAGGGATATGTATGGAAATTTCGAGTGGAATTTGTAGTTAGAGCTTGATGTTATGCCAATGAACCACCATGCAAATACCAGTGTGGCGGATGTAACAAATATGAAACATTTTCCGTGTTGATATACACTCAGTTACAGTATATAATTCAACACAAGTGGAAATTGGGAAAATGAGAAATTGCGTGGAAACATGACGCTAGTGGGCGGAGTGTTTTCACACAATTTTGAGTTTTCCCAATTTCCACGAGTGTTGATATAACTGTATATCAATACGGAAAAAAAGTTTTATATTATTTGTTTTATAATATAGCACAAGGAAACGTAAAGAAAGAAATTTTCCAACGTTTCTGTGTTGACATTGAGTTATATCAACACGGCTCTTAGCCAATCAGCATTCAGAATTTACAAATGCTATTTTATAAAATACTATATTGCTCCCTACAGGCCAAAAAACTTGAAAATAAATTTCCAACGGTAAATTGACAAAGTGTCAGGTACCAACTGATTGGTTTGACACTGGATATTTTGTGCCTGACAAAAAATATAAATGCAATAGAGCAAAATAATATAGTTTTTTTGTGGTTGTTGAAATAAAAGAAGCCAATGAAAAGCTTAGTATGGCAACAACAATTAAGCCACTAGTCAATTGTATCATACGGGATCAAACAATCATAAATTGCAGAGCATTTTCACAGGCATCTTGTCTATTAAATATTCATACGCAACGAAATTTGGACAATACGTCATACACATAATTTTTAAATGCGGAATGCTAATATTTTGGAATATTATAATGAAATTTTTAAAGCCAGTTGTAGGGTCACGAAAAAATATTTCCCGAACATACCAAAAATTTTTCCCTAATATCCCCGTAATGTTCGCAAACCTACAAAAAATTTTCCGGACATACCAAAAAACTTTTCCCGTGTGTACAGTAATTTTCGCACACATACTGTACAAACTTTTTCCAGACATAACATAATTTTTCGGAAATTTTAATTTATGTTTTGCCCGAATGACGCATGGATTTCTGCCTGACCGCAAAAATTTGGGGGGGCTGTGCCCCCGCCCCCCCCCTGGCCCATACGCCTATGGTTGTAGACAGTTTCACCAATATTTGTATTAATATGTTGCCAGACAAACTGTCCAGCAAAAAAAACCAGTTGTACCGGACAATTACTGTTACCTTTCCGTACTGGACAATGTCTGTGACCGGCCGCTTATTTTCAGGCTTGAGGCCAGAGTTCTTAGCAAATATAGCTCGCTGGTGGGGGTGGCTAATTTCTGACTAAAGATCTATGTCCTCTCCTATTCGTAATTCCAGGCTTTCAAAATAATGCACTAGCTGTTGGAGCCCTGGGAGGTATCAGGGTGCATTCCATGTTCTCCACACCCGTCTCTGGCTTGAGGTTTCAAAGTTGTTGGTGTGTTTCAGTGATTGAGGTCAGATTACTAGCCTGTGTGGACATTGCCGTCACTCACAGGGTCGAAGCACACAGGATTGTCTATTTTGACCTGGGTTTTAGTCCCCAAAAGTAAATTTTTTAAAAATATTGGCATGATCAAGGGCAAATGTTGGCGTTTCTCCAGCATTTAGTTTACATGGAATGCACTCTAAGCTTGCAAGTGAAGTTATATTATTTTTCTTATTATCCATAGTCTAGTTTATATCCTGGTTATTTTGTAAACTGATTTAGTTATTTGCCATCTTAAATCTTGAAGTTATTAACTGTATCTACCGTACTGTAATCAATAATACACTTATGTCTAGTTAATTTGAATGACTTTAAGACAACCCTGACCACTCCCCACAGCCACTTAACTCTGAATTTTGGCCCCAACGTATGTACAGTATAGGCCATATATTAACTGATTAGTTTTTCAGAAATACTTGGATATCTATTTATATTTATATTTAATTTTGATTTGTCACAATTCAGATATACAAAAAACAATATTTAATATTTATTTATATTTAATTTGATTTGTCACAATTCAAATATACAAACAAACAATATTTAATATTTATTTATATTTAATTTGATTTGTCACAATTCATTTGTCACAAACAAGATTGATTACTGACACTAGTATAGAACATGCAAAAATACAACATAGGTGTGACTGGAGAGAGAAACAGGACTTGCGTCCCAATCGACACCTAACTCCTAATTAATGACTATACATCGAACAAACACATTACATGAATAGGAAACCATAGGATATTATAAAGTTAAGAACAGCCAGGAGGGCTGTAAAATAGCAGTCGTTCTTTATACATTTTACGTAGTCTGGAACTGAATACAGATATTGATGTACAACTCTTAAGTTGCGATGAGAGGCTGTTCCACAGATTTGCTGACCTTACAAAAAAGAATTTCTGAAGTAGTCCTGCTTATGTTTGGTACTAATAAAATAGAAATTGTTTTCGTCGTAATGACGTGAGGTATAGCCTGGATCATAGGTATACGTAAATAATTTTTCACATCCATAGGTATATGAGTCTGTTTTATTGATTTGTAAAACAATTGCAAGTCCAAGATTTCTCTGCGGAATTCGAGTGGAAGGAGGTTCGTTTTTATCAGTCTTTCTTGATAGGACATATTTTGGGGATAGTTCAAGATAAACTTAGTCGCTCGTCGCTGAATATTCTCGATTAATGACCGGTGTTTGACAGTGCTAGGTGACCACACATTACTAGCGTATTCCAACTTAGGCCTAACGAGAGAGCAGTACAGTAGTCTTCTTGTGGCGCAGTCATTTATATCTCTGCAGATTCTTTTGATGAGTCCAAGAGTTTTGTTGGCTTTCGCTGCAGTGACTTCGATGTGCTTTGACCAAGAAAGATTACTGGAAACAGTGATACCGAGGTCCTTCATATTTGTGACTTGTTCAAGTGACTGACCATCGAGGTTGTACTGGTGTTTGTTCGGTAATTTCTTTCTCGAGATAATATGATAATATCTAGAGGGATATCTGGATTAAGTTGTTGAATTAAAAATATATAGAACTGCAGTTTCCTGTCAGAGGCCCCAGGCCCACGAATGATTGCATTTTTCGCAACTGCTCTTGGTTAGATGAGATTTACTGTAATAAATGTATAAAATTTGCACTCAAAATTTCTACCTAATAAAAAAACCCTTTATAGTTAGTTCTATTGAGTGATATACTGCAAATCCTGACATGTATTTTAAACCGTACATTATTGGCATCATGTTAGTAGTGATACATGAACTTGTGGTTAGAGCTCTATAACTGTCTCTCTGTAACTCAGTTGATTCATAGTTAATAGAGGAGATGGTTTGGAAACTCGTTAGCATGCATTACAATAAAATGACCGTAAACCTCATTATCTATGTTGTTCAGGTTTATGCAAAAATGTGGTCTTTCATCGTCACGTGCGTATTGTATTTTTCTCAAGTCAACCAATAGGAATGTTCAAAATGTCCTATTGTTAAAGTCGTGGATGGGCAATTGGACAAAACCGTTGCTATTGGCTGGTTGAGCAAAAGTACAATACGCACGTGACGATGAATGACCACATTTTTGCATAAACCTGAACAATAACATAGATAGTGAGGTTTATTGTAACGCTAATGAGTTTCCAAACCATCTCCTCCATTAGCTATGGTTGATTAGAGTGCTGAGTTGAGTGTACCAGAATTGGAGGGCTGCAGGCTCGATTTCTGCCAGAGGGCCAATAGTTGCATTTTTCACAACTGCATGCATGGTCCTGGTCAGATCTAATAAATGACTATGTATAAAATTTGCGCTTGATATTTCCATCTACGGCAGAAAACCCTTCGAGAATTAAAACAAGTCTTAAGGTAGTGGAAACAATTTGGATACATAGTTATTAAAAGAACTGGCCAACCTTGATAGAATTAGCATAAAGCTTATGGAATATGCCAGAGTCGTACAGTGTCTACTGGTGTATATCTTTTCTCAATGACAATTTTAAAGCTGATTGAAATGTTGGTAGTTAACCCATTAAGTTGGAATGCACCTAAATGCGCCCGACTTTATTATTTTACTCTATCAACATTAGACAATTTGTGAATGGGACTGTCTTGTGCATTATTGGATTAACTCATTAAAGTCACATTATTGTACCCTAATGCACAACTTCGTTATTTTACTACACTGTACTTGTATAACACCAGACGATTTTACTCGTTAAAGGGAGATTTTACTCGTTAAGCAGTTGTAATGTTAAGCTTTGTCAGCTTGGTCCAATGTCATAATATTATAATACAATGTGACACAGTTGTTAGGCTTTGGCTCTTTACATTTGATACGTGCATGGCAAGAAATTGAAAGAAAAATTATACATGGCTACAACAAAAAGATTGAAATACCTTGACGGAAGAGCCTCAAATTGATTGTGAATGTCACTTCAATATTTGAATCTTAACCTTGCATGTGATTGGTTACCATATTAGTAGCAAATTATGTTAAACCGGTTTAATTGTAAAATAATTAACATGCGCAGTACAATCTCTAATTATAGCATGCCAAATGCAGTAAATAAATGTAGCTTGCATGTAAAAAAGCTGCAGATGGATATGGATAGAACTGCCTGAAAAATAATACAAGGAGGACATCGACGTTTAGAGCGAAGGCCCAGCATGGGTACATGTAAGTTAGGGCCTTCGCTCGAAATGTTGAAACAAAGTGCCTTAGTTCGAAACGTCTAAGTTCTCCTTATATTTTTTCAGGTCGTTGTATCCCTTTATCATTGGCATTCCCTTCACTGGCACAGTCTGTTAAAAATGTACATCTGCAGGCTATTATTAGCTATGATAATTAGCTGTAAATAATAATTGTATATATGCACGTTGTTTCCCAAACTGATCATCAAGTATGGAATTGAGATTCGCAATTGATTTGACCACATGCTCTTCCATCTTGGAGTTTCTTTTGCGTCACATCTGGGACCAGGTTAGTCATTTGGTTACCTGGTTAAAAGCTGTTGTGCCTTCAAAAAAGTGCCTTCAAAAGTGCATGTGCAGAAACGAAATCGAGCTAAATCATATGTCTATTGTGGACGGCTCATTGTTCTCGGCCAAAAAATATGTCAAAAATTAAGGAAGTTAGGCATGAAAAATCGGAAAATACAAACTTAATTTTTATTGTTATAGCCCTTTAAACGATATAATTTAAAACATTTTAGGAAAATGTACTGAAAAATTTGCCCAATCGGAAAATACAAACTTAATTTTTATTGTTATAGCCCTTTAAACGATATAATTTAAAACATTTTAGGAAAATGTACTGAAAAATTTGCCCATACCTGGTCCACTTCACCTAGCTGCACTGAGCAAGCTCTTACACAACATATCTACAGACTATGGCATGTCGAAAGAAGATTTACGTTTAAGATGGCAAGTCTTTAATGGTGTCAAGAGTCTTTTTGAACAGGAAATTAAAGGTATGATGTTGGATAGCGTACAGGTAGTTCGTTATTTGGCATATAGACCGATTCTAACAATAGTTGTCATTATGAATAGTTGTCAGTCATACTCGACCTATCCATATGAAAAAAGTGAACGATCTGTGCCAGTGTAGGTGGTGCCAATAATAAGAAAGCTGTGGATGGATAGGGATACAACTACTTGGAAAATACAAGGAGAACTTCGATGTTTCGAAAAAAATTGTATTTCATTTTATTTAATAGGTTGTTCTCTGCGGCTGTATGGCTCGTCGAAAAGTGCCCTTGGTTTAAAGACTAGTGATGTCAACATATGTGTACATGAGGAGAATGAGGTACAATTGTGCTTCCAGTGACGGACACCAGACGAAGCTTCGTATATCTTTCCCCAAAATGTGAATGAATTGCGCCATCAATTTTATTTGTTTTACTCGTGTACATGCATACCTCTATGTTTTATGGATGAACTCATGCGTTTCCTCAGTTTGACCATAAAATTTTCACTAATGCCACCACGAATTCCAAACAAAAACTTGTCGCTTGTGCGAAAGGGTGCACTCCTATACCCTGCTCCTTCTCTGTCAGATTATAGCTTCGATCTTGCGCCACCTCCCCCTCATTGCTCTAAATGTGTATGAAAATTGAAGGCCCTGTAGTTGGGGAGACTCATGCACCATTCTCAGTAGTGTAAGGTGATAATTGTTGCAATTTTTCATGTTTATTTTTCTTGCAGGAAAAGATACCAAGAATTTTTATTGCATTTTTGAATGTACTAAAAGGCTGCAGTAAGTTACACAATCGTGCATTTCTTGTTTACAGTAGCTGGGATAATTTATGATTTATTTTAATGCCGGCTTCAAAATAAACCAGTTCATTTAGTTCCTTGCCCATTTTGCTTATAAATTTACTACTCTATACTGTGCATCATAACATAGTTTAGTTGATCATTTCAGTTTTGTCAAATACTGTATCTTCTAGCAATTGATTGTTGTTGTTAGTCGCAAGGATTTCCCGTGTGCATATTGTGATGATGACGTCAACGTCACATACCGTATATAGACAACAATGGTTTGCGAGGACATAAGCTAGACCGCATGGCGAACAGAGCATGGCGAGTTTGATATTATTGTATTTGAAAACAACTTATAGTTAATAAAGCTTAGATATTACATTTGGCGACGAGGATTTTAAATATTGTTTACTATGGCTGCAAGAGTAGACCTTCCATCGATGCCACAGTTTGATCCTCATGTAGATTACAGCAGTTTAGCGACACGATGGGAACAGTGGCTTAAACGATTTCACCTTTATCTTCGAGCTGGAAAAATCACCGATAAAACACAACAACGAGCCCTTCTTCTCTACGTGGCTGGGCCCCAAGTACAAACAATATTTGAAACGCTAGCTAATACTCCATGGAGGTGACGATGACTTCAAAACAGCGGTTGAAAAACTGACAGAATATTTCATGCCAAAGAAAAACCTCGAGTATGAGATTTATATATTTCGCCAAGCCCGACAAACGACTGACGAAACATTGGATCAGTACCACACGCGCCTTCGAAAGCTTGCTACAACATGCGAGTTTACCGATGCTGATCGAGAAATTAAAACACAAATCATACAAAGCTGCGTTTCCACGCGTCTTCGGAGAAAAGCGCTTCGTGATTCAACGCTTACTCTGAGTGCCTTACTCGCTGAAGGTCGTTCGGTGGAAGTAAGTGAAAAACAAGCTAAAGGCATCGAGAAATCCCTCGCAGCCATCAAGATCGACGAAAAACCCCCTACTGAAATCGACGATAGTGTGAATGTCATTCAACATCAACAACGCCAACAACCACCGTACGCTCGTCGGGAAGCAGTGGAACGCAAGTGTTATTATTCGGGTTAGATTATCCCCACAAGAACAATAGCTGCCCAGCGTATGGCAAAGAATGCTCGTTTTGTCATAAGATGAATCATTTTGCAAAGGTTTGCAAAAGTAGTCAAAATCGAGATCAAAATCAATTTCCTCGACAGCCTCGCTCATCACGCCAATTCAACAACTCGTCAATTAACACTGTTAATAGACAACACACTGACGATGAAAGCAACTCATCCTCGGAAGATGAATACATCTACACGGTAAACACAAGCTCAGTAGTTGCGTCCAAGGACAATTTGACTGCCAAATTATAGACCAATCGGACGAATTTTCGAGCACTCATCGACACCGGGGCGTCTATCAACATTATAGACGAGCCGACATTTCAACACTTATGTAAACAAAAACCTATTAAAATACATCGTTCAAAAGCACGAATATATGCGTATGCTGCACAATCGCCGCTTCCTATGCTGGGAGTATTCGAAGAAATCATCGAATCGAAGACAAAGATGACAACCGCCAAATTTCACGTCGCAAAAGGGGACAATGGCAACTTACTTTGCTCAGAAACTGCAGCAGAACTCGGATTAATAACATTGAACATACACAATGTAAGCAAAGACAAAGCGGAAATAAACACAACTACAAAAGTAAACACAACTGTGAAAGTGCCAAACGAATTCACACCTGAGGCAGAAGCCACTGAATTCATTCAATGTCTGACAAATGAGTACGAGGACTTATTCAGAGGAATTGGGTGCCTGAAAAACTTCGAACTTAAGCTACACATAGACCCTAACGTCAAGCCAGTTGCGCAACCAGAAAGGCGTATACCATTTCATATCCGGGAGAAAGTAACTCACGAACTGGACAAGTTAACAGAGCAAGGTATCATCGAGCCCTGTTCTGGCCCAACTCCCTGGGTCTCGCCCCTAGTCGTAGTACCAAAACCGAAGAACCCAGAAGAAACAAGAATATGTGTTGACATGCGTATGCCTAATACAGCGATAATCCGTGAGCGCCATCCCATGCCTACTGCTGACGAACTTATCCACAAGCTAAATGGTGCAAAAGTCTTCTCAAAACTCGATCTTCGCCACGGATACCACCAAATTCTCTTAGCTCCTGAGTCTCGTTACATTACGACCTTTCGTACCCATAAAGGACTGCACCGCTATATCCGACTTAACTATGGCACATCAGCAGCCTCAGAAGTTTTCCAGTATGATATAAGCCAAGCCATTGCTGGCATTGACGGAGTTGTCAACATCAGTGACGATATAATCATATTCGGTAAAACACAGCTTGATCATGACACAGCCCTTAAAACTGTATTTGAACGATTGCGACAAGTCGGCCTCACCCTCGACAAATCGAAATGTGCTTATAACAAGGGTACATTGGAGTTCTTTGGCATGACTTTCTCTGCAGATGGCGTCAGCCCGGACCCAAAGAAAATAGAAGCTATCGTCAATGCTCCCCGTCCAACCAATGTGAGTGGGGTCCGCAGCCTGCTGGGCATGACGAATTACTGTTCAAAGTTTATTGCAAACTATGCAAACATTACAACGCCCCTTCGACAACTCACAAAGAAAAATGAGAAGTTCCAGTGGCTACCAGTCCATGAAAATGCCTGGAAAACACTAACAAAAGCTCTCACTTCAGCCCCAGTTATGGCATACTTTGATACTACCAAATGCACAGAACTCATAGTCGATGCCAGTCCAACTGGTTTGGGTGCTATATTACAGCAGCATACCCCAGGAAACGAAGACCACAAAGTGATTGCCTATGCAAGTCGAGCACTCAGTCCCGTCGAACAAAGATACAGTCAAACCGAACGTGAAGCCCTCGCCATTGTTTGGGCAATGGAAAGATTTCATATTTATACATATGGAACAGAATTTGTCCTGTATACAGATCACAAGCCATTAGAGTTGATCTGCAATAACCCTAAGTCCAAACCTCCTGCACGGATCGAGCGATGGTTCCTACGTCTTCACAAATACCGTTTTCGAGTCCAATATAGCCCCGGGAAGGACAATCCCTCAGATTATATGTCTCGACACCCCCTGAACACAAGTGCAACACATCGTCAAGGCGAGTTAGCAGAAGAGTACATCACCTTCATTGCACAGCACACTACTCCCAAGTCCATCAGCCTGGAAGAAATTAAACAGCAAACGAAAGAAGATGCAACCCTGCAGATTGCTATGAAATATATTCAGAATGGAAATTGGCATGAGGCACGCAACTTGACAGATGCAAACATAAACAACCAGGAACTTAGTATTCTGTATAGCATCCGAACTGAGTTGACTGCTAGTAAAGATAATGACCTGCTTCTGAAATCCACCCGAATAGTTATACTAACATCCCTGAGAAAACAAGCCATCGATCTGGTCCATGAAGGCCATCAAGGCTTAACCAAAACTAAGCAGTTGCTTCGAGAGAAAATATGGTTCCCATCAATTGATTCCATGGTGAAAAAGATAATCTATGCTTGCATCCCCTGCCAAAGCACCACTCCAGCTCACCCTCCAGTACCACTCAAAATGTCAAAGATGCCACCAACATGGCATACAGTGCACATAGACTTTCTAGGTCCACTTCCGACCGGAGAGCTGATACTTGTTGCAATTGATGCATATTCCCGGTACCCGGAAGTCGAAATCGTACATTCAACATCAGCAGCAGCACTCATCCCGAAGCTGGACAGAATATTCTCAACGCATGGAATTCCATACAAAGTTGTATCTGACAATGGTCCTCCATTCAACGGACAGGAAATCAGGCGATACATGGGGATCCATGGCATTGAGTTTGTAACAGTCACCCCTTTATGGCCACAGGGCAACTCAGAAGCGGAATCATTCATGAAACCATTGCTTAAGTCCATTCTAACAGCTCGAACAGAGGGCCGAAATTGGAAAAAAGAATTATTCACCTTCCTCTTGAATTATCGAGCGACTCCCCACAGCACCACAAAAGTTGCCCCAGCCGAACTCCTGTTTAACAGAACAATTCGCACCAAGTTACCACAACAATACACTTCATCAAAACCAATCGACAAGCATATTATGGCAAAAGAGAATGATCACAACTCCAAAAGTCAAATGAAAAGGTATACTGATCAGGCGAGGCACACAAAGAAGACTCTGATTAACGTTGGTGATTTGGTTATATATAAACAACAAAAGAAGAACAAGTTTTCAACAAAATTCAATCCAGTCCCTTACAAAGTGATTAAAGTCCACGGTGCCACAATTACAGCCCAACGACACTCTCATAGCGTCTTAACCTTGGTGAAAAAGAGCGACAATACCATCTTGATGATCAACCATCAGATGAAGAAGAGGATGAGATAGTAAGAAACGAACAGGATCAAGAAAACGAAGAGGATGCAAGAAGGTACCCTGCAAGGGATGGACAACGAACAAACTTTTATCATGATCCGGACTCGGCAATTCTCAGTCATTAACTTATGAACTGGTAAATAGGGTCCAGGTACTATTAAAAAATTTTTGAGTTATAGCACAGTTAATAAAATAGGATGGTTTGGCTAGCCGGCAAACTTCAAAGGGATTAGGCGACGGCGGCAAAATATGTTGAGGATCAAAGGAAAAAGATGTCACGTGACGGTTTTAGTGCATGGCTTGAGACCAATTACTATAAGATTATATTATAGTTTCCAATGTTTTCATGTTTCATCGCGAAATAACGGCGCTAATAACATTTATTTTTGTGCTAAACTAAAGTCATATCATACAAAGAGTTATGGACGACGATTTAGAGGCGATTGTATCGATTCCCAGGGAATTGGAAGGCGAAAGTTGTTGGAGCAACATTGTCGAGGAATTGGCGTTATTTGAACATGAAGAAACCTGCGAGGATATTTTCCCTTATAATTTTGAAATTGCGTTGTCTTTTATTCAAGAAGTCGAAGCAACTATGGAAGAGGAGGTCGCAGACGCTGTGAGCGAAATATCAGGCGAAAATGACTTTCCTTGCAAAAATTGTGACAGGATTTCAGGATTTGCAAGTCGAAAGGTGGCTTGACGAGACATGAAAATGTAAAACATGGGAACAAAATTACAGCGGGGAAAGAGAACGTTTCTGCATCGAAGATATCGCTAACACCTGAGTAGTTAAAATCCATTGTTGATAAAGTTAAGACAAAAATAAAGGAGGATGCTTTCTGGGACAGCGAAATGACTTCGAATATGGCAAGCATAACATCGAACGATTCACTATATACAATAATATATTGCCATTTTACATGAACGATTTTGTCGAAAGCTAAATCAATATTCATTCTTAGCAGACTTTCGTCTTGCCTATTGCAGTTTAAAAACCAACAATTATGCAGTCGTAGACGCTATTGATATGATCTCAGATACTAGGGATACCCTACCCCAGAGACAACTTTACTGCACGGCTATATGAGAGACACTAGCCCTGGCACTGTATCCCCTCCTACAAGAATGGCTCTAAGTGCGAGATTGTGACTCCTGAAACATGCAGTTATTTGTTTGATGGCCTGGGAATCAGGTAATGAAAAGTTATCTGTGGAGGCCGAGACAAATTGTTTACATGGACAAAAGTTGTCCCTACGACCAAGTGTAACCCTGTTTTGTAAACAGGGGTGACCCTACCAGCCGAGACGAGTTGAAAACTTTCCATATAAACACTTGCATTTAAATTAAATGTTATATAATGAATATAATTTTGCCTCTCCTTGGGTAGCTCGGGGGCAGGGTGACCCGAGATCATATAAACAGCACCTAATAATGATTTCAATACCAGACCATTTAGTGACAGTCTCTAAAGGTCTTACTACATGCAGTGGACATGCTGGAATTTCTTCAGAACTTAATGAGAATGAACACGGTCCCCTGTCCTACTGTACATAGCATGGTATGTGTTGTCAAATCTGAAGAAAAAGTAAAAAAAAAAGCAAATGACGACGGCTTCAAATAATTTTAGAACATATGATCAGTTCTGGTTTGGAAAATGAATACTTTAAGGCACACAGTCAAGGAGGTCTGGCTACACCATGTAATGATTTGGTCAAACTACTAGAGGTTGTAGGGATTCTATTCAGACAGTTTATATATAGGGAAAAAAGTTAATTTGGCTTTATGATCCTTAGATAAACATACTTTTTGTACATACAATTAAATAAATTAAAAAATATTTATAATGATAATTTCAGTGCCTTAACAAAGCGCATAGCAATTGATATAATTTATGTGATTGTCCACCATTCCAAAAATACTTTTAACATAACCAATAATTAACACCCTACACTCCATACCCCTGAGCCTAGATATACTAGAGCCGTGTTTACAATGCGAGCCTAAGCCTGGCCTGGGCCTACCTTTGGACCTACCTTTGGACCAGATTTTTTAGTGTAAATGCACTTCGGCCTGGCCTAGGCCAGGTTGAAGTGCGGTTACACTACAAAAATCTGGTCCAAAGCTAGGCCTAGGCCAGGTTTAGGCTAGTAGTGTAAACACGGCTTAGGGCATAGTGGGATAGGGTTATGCAATGGGTGCTCGCCATATCCCCATGTTGGAAAGAACCAACAAAGGGGATACCTATACACATTTTAGTAGAAGTCAGATAATTTAAATAGGGCTCATCAATTTATTTTTAGTTCAATAA